AAGTCTATTCACTTTAACTTATAATAGTTTATGAAATAAAAACCTGAGTCACAGCTTTTGTTCTGTGGTAACATAAAAATGTTGGTCTTGGAATTCAATGTAGAGAACTGAGAATGGTGTACATGTTGTAAATATTTGTGCTGTGAGAAATTTTGTCATAAGAAATTAAAAGAACTTACAGGAAGGTTTTTAAGTTTAGAAATATTCATGCCAATAAAATAGGAAATTAGAAATAATATGGTTATTAAGCACTGCGTCACTGGGAGTCCTTGGCTTATGTTAGTTTATGTATGAAAACAGATACTTGTGACTGTTCCCAGTTAAGCAAGAAGAGGAGGCAGGTTTAATTTGTTTTTGAAGCACTTTGAGAAGAGAGATTAATTTTAAGTAACTTAATGAGCAGATCTGGATTCCGGCTTTTGTGTTCAATAGCAGCCCTTTTCCCGATCTCTCTGGATTATTTGAACAGAGAGTTGGGGAACATGTATCTATGGCGGGTGTTCGATGCCAGGGAGCCTCTTTCTGGGAAATGTGATCCTGGGCTTTCAGACACTCGGGGTCCTGAGGAAATCGTCGTCTCTGGAAAACTGATGCTCAGAGGAGACGTGCAGGCACCGTGGAGTCCGACGGTGGAACCTCGGCATCACCATCATTGCTGTTGGTTTGCTACCGTTTCCAAGCCCCGGGTCACCATCTAGATTACGTTCCTTAGAACTACTGCCGGTCACTTGCAGTGGAGACGAGTAATGCTCACACGGGTATTTGAGATTTCGATTTTCTTTTCCTCCTGGGTTCTCCGTACGCCTCTGGGTCTCATCCTTCCCCATGGGGTGCTGTTGGACCCCTCAGGTGTGGATGGGGAAGCATGTGGTGGACTTGCTCTCCGTACTTGCACGCCCTGCAGAAACATTAGCCTCACCCAGCAGGACAGCCGTGCTGGCCTGGGCACTCGGAGCACCTTACGGCCCACAGCCAGGCCTCACGGTGTCGCTGTGTGAAGACGTGCAAGACCCGTGCCACTGAGGAGAGGCGCAGGTTAGACCCTGTGTCTGGGAAGGCCCGAGAGCAGCGGCCACCTCTCGTTCCCAGTAGAGCTCTCGGGGTGCTCTGAGGAGGCTCAGAGACTAAAGCTGGACCCACCTCTGTGAGCACCAGCAGTAGCCATTTCAGGATTTCCGTCTTCAGGAAAAAGTAATCAGACATCACCTCTCCCACTTTGCTCCGTTTTCAGCTTCACTTTAGTAATTTATTTATGGTGTGTGTGGATTTTAGTGTGGTCTCAGCTCTGGAGGCCGACCTTCCCATGGGTCTGGTTCAGTGACCAGTCGCCACCCTCAGGAGTCGGTATGCACAAACACTCGGCAGCCACTGTTGATGCCTTAGGGAAACCTACCCTCCGTCCGCAAAGGTCGGGGCCGTACCTGCTGGCCAGCCTGAGTGTGTGGAATGGCCAAATCCACACGCTGCTGACCAGCCGGGGAGAGGTTGCGTTCAGTAAAACTTGGCTTGAGCTTATGCAATGAGTGGTAAGGATTGTGGCGTTGTCAGAATTCGGAAAGGACCATGGAGATACATGTGACGCGTTGAGCTTTGCAATCATTTCTCAAATTACTGTGTTAGAATTGTTTCGCCGAGTTGTAATACTTTTGAGATACGGTCTATTCCTTGTACTGAAAGAATGGAAAAGGACTTTTTCAGCATTTGAGGTAAGTTCTTTAATGTTTCATTAAAAACATTTTTTACAAATATTTTGTACATGCACTTGCAGTATTGAGGTTAATCATTTTAATAAATTCGGAAATTAAAACACCTTGGCCAGTGTTCCCTGTATCTGAGGAGAGAGGAAACAGTGCTGGCCCCCAGGTTGCCACGCAAGAGTGTAATTGCGTTTCCATGGCCACTCGGTGTCGGCCGAGTCCCCTTGCCCAGGTCACCTCTTGCATGTGGTACCACTCAGCTTACAGGGCTGCCTCGCCACCTCCCCTTCCTGCCCTTGAACCCAGGAAGCCCTTTGTCCTGGAAATGGAGTGAAGTAACACTGGGTGGGGGGCTCCTGCAAGTCGGTGACTAATGGTGTCTGACTGCTTCCGGTGTTTGCACCACCGAATTGGGCACAGCCGGCACACCCAGAGCTGGCGTGGGCCCTCTCTCCCCAGTTCTGTTCCATAACCCAGGCAGAAGGGCGGAAGACAGACCCAGAAGGCAGGCTGCCTGGCTGCCCAGCTCTGCACTGTCCAAGTGACAGCAAGCTGGGCCATCTCCAAGCCCAGTTCCTAACATAGGGCTCAGTTGGGAAACTGGCCACACGGGGACACCTGGTCCCATCGCGTGTTGGCCCGTACTGTGCCCACACAGGGCTGGGCCTCAGGGTGGGAGGTGCGGGCAGCACGGTCGTCCTGTGAACACAAATCCCCACCCAGACGGGTTCCCAGTGTGAGCAGAGGGTGAGGGGGGCCCAGCTCTGGGCTTGCCCTGTGGTGAGTCACCCCTGTCTGGTAGCAGCCTGAGCTCAGGGCCCTTTGGCATCTCGGACGCACCCCATCCTGTGCCCCTGCTGCGAGGTTGGTGTCCCTGTAGCCTCAGGGTAAGCGTGACCCTGGCACCCGGGAGGGCAGGAAGGCCCCCAGCTTCTCCCGCGCGGGTCCCTGGAGCATGGGCAGCGCCGTGTCTGATGATGCCACAGTCCAGGGGATGTGCGTTCCGTTTCTGATCCAGGCGGAGGGCACCACCGTGGGTCACGGGGCAGGGCTGGGCTGGCTAGGGTTGGCGGGGGGATCCCAGGAGCAGTGATCCGTCTGAGCCTCTGCCTCTTCCTGTCCCTGGGAGGCTCTCGGGTCTGCATGCTGGACAAGCGCTCATCGGAGAGCGGGGCAGCCACTGGGCAAGGCTGCTCCTGCCGCGCGGGCCGTGGGTTTCTGACCAGTTGCAGTGCACAGGGGCTGCCAGCTGGGGGCGCCCCGCAGCGGGTCTGCTCAGGCCGGGGCATCAGAGGCGGCGGAGTCCAGAGAGAGTTTGGGGGTGGGGTGGCGGGGGTGAGCCTTCTGGAGGGGTGAGAGGACCTGAGGAGGAGGGCCGGGCCAGCCCGGGGCCCAGCCCATCCCGGGATCCGGCTGCAGTGCCCGGCCCAGGCTGCTGCTTCTGGTCCGAAGGGCCCTGTGCGGTCAGGGCGGGTGAGAAAACAAGCTTGGCCCTGAAGGTGGAAAGGGGTGGCGGCGGGGGAGGAGGCGGGTTGGGGCGCTTCGTGTCGCTTTGTGTTTTAATAAAAGACATCCTGGCAGGGTCCCTCCACGGGGCCCTCAGGGATGTCTGGAGCCCGAGGTGGGGATGGCCTCTCTGCAGGAAAGGAGGCAAAGGTGTGTCTGCAGCGGCCGCTCATCTGTCTCAGGACGTAGTCTGCCCCGTGGGGGGTGAGCTCATCTGAAGGGGGGTGACCTGGCTGCGAAACGAGGATCTGAACCAGGGCGTGGGGAGAAGAGTGACTGGCCCCTGAGTCCGCAGTGTTGTGGGACCCACAGCAGCGTCCACAGAGTCGGGCGCTCGGGGCAGGGGAGCGTCAAGGGGGCCTGAGGGACAGGTGGAGCCGAAGTGGCCACACAAGTGGGGAGGCAGGACCCAGAATCCCAGAGTGGCCCGGACTTTGCAGAGGCTGTTTCCGTGGTGACAAGGTTGCAGTGAGGCTGTGGGAAGCAGCGCTGAAGGAGGGGCATGCCCACGGAGGCGAGTCGCGCTTCAGAGAGACCAAGGCACCGGGCCCTGGGAGGCCTCCAGGCATTCGGGCGTGCCCGGGCCCTAGGGGCTGCCACGGCCCACGTGGAGGGACAGACAAGAGGGCCGCCGCAGGGGCAACGGGGACACTCCACAAGGGGACACCTCAGGCCAGGTGGATGAAGGCTTGGCATATGTCTTCTGGATGAATACATGAATGAATGAATGAATCAACTCTGTGGTCACAAGCTGGTGGTGAGTGGAGCCAAGCCCTGACCGCGGG